ATAATCTGATTTTACTGTCTATGCAAATATCAAAAAAGCTGTGTTTTTGTCTTTATTCAGTTCAATCTAAATATCTATTATATTCACTTTATTTGATTCTTGTGTCAGTATGATAGACTACAAAATCCCACCTTGGTATTTTGTATTTACTATGAATTTTAATGCGAAATCTTGGAATCTTCTCAGATCTTATGACTCATTATGCTAAAATCTTAATTGTGCCTCCACCCCAGAGAGAAGGGTTACATCTCCTGGGTCTAGGTGCAGCTTGCCCCTCTGGGGGCGGGGGTACCTGGACCTTATGTTAAAACAAGATCTAGAGTGTGATTAAAGTGGTGGGTGGGTTCTTTTACATTTTGAGAGAAACCAATTGAGTCTAAAAGGTCTGTTAATACATAGTCAGTAAGGACCCATACAGGTTTAGAGTGGGGTTTGTTTTAGCTACTATAAAACAACCATTTGTGTTACTTTCAAGTGTCATACGTCAATGAGCAATAATGTTTTTCCATTTAACGCTTTTTTATGTTCCAGATTGGTGATTTATTTTATAAAAAGAGCTAAATGTTACTCTGAATCTAACTCCACATGCATCTCAGTGGGTTAGTGCGAATGAGTTCATATGTGTGACCTGTAAGCTAAAAATCCAGACTGGAAGGTAAATGTGTTATTAACTCATATTCATTTGTTTCATTGTTTTATGAAATGTTAAATCGTGCGCCTAAATAAAGTCAGAACCACCAAAGCCACTTCTATGTGCTCATTATTAGACAAAGGTTAGCAAAATAGAGAAACTGCAGTCGTAATAAAACCACAGATCCATCATGCTGCTGCAAGCAGACGTGTGGCCTGTAGGTGTTTAAGAGGCAACTGTCATTTAAATTGCAACTCTATGCAGTGGAGAAATGGCCTAAGCTTTCTTGCACAGATACTCCAACTTTTAGACTTTGATGCTATCATTTATCTAAAATCAGTTTTTAATAAATACTCAGTGAAACTCACCGCAGAGTGTGGATATTACTCTGAGACAAACAAAATCAGCCAAATAAGGAGACA